AGTAGCACCTGCAAGTAGCTCGTGGACAAGCATGGACCTGCAATCAAGTGGGCACAATGATGCCACTTGCTCACCAAAATAAAAACAGTAAAATGTACAGCCATGCAAAACCCTTTGTTAGCAGAAGCAAGAGAAAATCTGTGATATATTCAATGGTGACAGAAGCAGCAACGCTCAGCTGGCAGAACCTAGTTCTCTTTCCTGGTTTAAATTTGGTGCAGTGTAGGAGCAGCACTCTGGTCTAGCCCTCTTCTAAAAAACATAGAATCATAGGGTTGGAAGTGACCTTGGAGGTTTATAAAGAATCCATGTAACACCTGACAATGCTTTGGAGGCCACGTATCTGATCTCTCTTGCAGTCCAAGCCAAAATGTCCATGGAGAGCAGTTCCTCATGAACCGGAGGGAGGGGGCATGCCTGCAGCAGCCCAAGAGGCCAACAGCCGGGCAGATCCCAGGGCCTGACTGTGTCCTAGTGACCTCCACCTCACTGGTAACGGAGTATGCTATATTGGATTTATGCAGAAATTGTATGGAGACAAGAAACCTGCTTTGAAACTGGAACAGCTAAAGACCATTCTAAGTTGCTTCAGCTGTCATCTGGGGATGAGAGAAAGACAATATCATGAGAACGTGGCATAAACAAATAGTTTACAGGGCAAGTTCATGCCCTGGTTAGGGAGATGTGAAGCTAAAATGCAGAGCCTGTCAACCTGCAGTAAATGGAAAATGGTTATCTGAGAGCTTTAAATGATAATGTTGTCTTCAAGTCAGTCTTGACTGCTGAATAAGTCCCTGAAGTTTTCTTGGCAACATTTTCGGAAGTGTCTTGCCATTTCCTTCTTCCTAAGTCTGAAATCCAACCTTCATTTATTTATATATTTATTGAGCTATATATGTTAGCGCTATAAGATGGTGCCCCTGTTCATATTGGGAGCTATCCCTCTTTAAAACCATCTCCAGGAACAGGAGGAGGAATCCATCTATTCCAGCCTTAGCATTTTTTAGTAATATGTGCTTCCCCACCACCAAGGGTCAGCCAAATTGTCATAATGTTAATGAAATTTAAAGATAATGGCTTTATTTATATTCCAGGTTCCATGAACTGATTAAAGGAAGTATGGCGGGAATTTACAGCAGTTCTTCCTCTTGAACATGTGAATCACTTTTGTATTTGGAAGATCCAGATAAAAGCTAGTAGTTGGCAAGATATTTAGTCTATTCAAGAGGTAATAAAAATAAATCGGAAATTTAGGATAATGGTTGGAATTGTGAGGATGGTAGGTTATCACCACAGTATTCACGAGATCGGACTATTATTGTATCCCATTTAGAGGTGGGCAAAAGCCAGGAAAAATTCTTGTACTTTTCATGGTTTTGTAAAAAAGGAGATTTCAGCAAGTGTAGCTTGCCATGTAATATATATTTGCTGAAATTCCCGTTTCACAGTGGTTGATAAAACTCAGGAGCTCAATTCTCTCTTGTATCTGGTCACAATAGTACTGCAGAAGTTTTCTGTTGTTCTGACCATGTATTTGCAAAACAGCGAAAAAACTGAGAAATGAGTAATGGGGTTGAGTTTGGAGGTCCACCTAAAAGCTCATTATATTTTGCTTTTGATTCCTTGAAAATCTCTTATGTAGTAGTTACCATAGCACACAGTACTTTTCAGGATCTCAAAGAAGTATTAACAGACAAACGCTTATGTAGTAGTTACCATAGCACACAGTACTTTTCAGGATCTCAAAGAAGTATTAACAGACAAACGCTTATGTAGTAGTTACCATAGCACACAGTACTTTTCAGGATCTCAAAGAAGTATTAACAGACAAACGCTCAATTGAGTCATTTAAGCAGGGCTTTAAGTAGCACACAGTACTTTTCAGGATCTCAAAGAAGTATTAACAGACAAATGCTCAATTGAGTCATTTAAGCAGGGCTTTAAACTTGTTTTAAACTCCCACCCCCCATTCTCTAATGAATAAAATAAATTCTTTGTTCAGAATAAATCATTTGCATTTGGTTTGCATGCATAAAAATTAGTTAAAATGGGAAGATTGGGCTACAAAACAGTTAATCTTTGATTGTACAGCTGTCTTAACATTCACTTTATTTAATCCTCAGAAAAGTTTACATCACTGCCTATTCAAGCAAACTTTGAACATCCATATGTCATAGTTGAAAAATCCTGGCATTTGCCCAGGGCCTGAAATTGGAATCAGGGGCAAAGCCCAGTGATTTAGGAGAAGAGAGATTTGGAAAAACTGTTTCTGTATCTCTGATGACAACCTGTTTTTCGGGGCTATCCAAGGGGTTCCCAACCTGGTACATGTAGGGCCAACATGGCCATGGGTACCTCCCATGACATCCTAGGATTTTCAAGATATCACAGCCCAATGTGGTTCAGTGAATAGTCTATTGTTGGAGAAAAATCATTCCTTTCTTTGCATAATCCATAGGGCCTCTCCAAGGTCACTAGAAGAGGTCTGTCTTTAGATGCCATCAACTCATCTGATCTCATTTATTCTGCTAGGTTGTGGAATGGACTCTCTGTAGATGTTAGAGGCTGACCTTCTTTAGAGGGCTTCAGGTAGCCTTCAAGACTCTTCAGATTAGCCTGGCTTTTAATAATATTTTCAAATGGCTTTAATATGAGTTTTATATTGATTTTAATGTTTTGTTTTAAAATTATTTAAATCTTCAAGTTTTATTTTGTAGATGGGAAATGGTTTGGTCCATGTATCCACCATGTTCATAGGTAGCAGGCTTTTTAAGAATCCCTCAGTTTTTCTCCTGTATGTGTATAAATAAGAATTAATTGCTTTCTTTTATGCCTAAGATAACAGCTGCATACTAGCTTTGTAGCATAGATGTATTAGTGCTACAGGAAAGAAAATGGGGGTTTCTGCTGGACAAGTAGCTTTTTCACATATTAATATCCATTAATTGGATGAACGAAAGGAAGCTTTCCAGTGAAATCTGTAGGATGCTGTTTATTCCGCAGAAGAAGATGCTGCTGACCATCTTTTCAGTCTATAGAGAACAGATTTCAACAATAGTCCAGGGGGGACTGATGCAGCTTTCTTCAACCCAACACCCTTACGCTTTGCTGACTTTCTGCTCCCATACTCCTAGCCAGCAAAAGTAACACTGGTTGAGGGTTATGAGAGCTAACTTCAACACCTCTGAGGAGCCCTAAATTGGGGAAGCCGTGCTGGCTAGGGAATTCTGGGAATTGAAGTCCACCCATCTTAAAGTTGCCAAGGTTGAGAAATGCTGATATAGTGTATATCTGTGCACTGACAGAAATTATTAGAAGACACTGATGGTCTTCCATTCCATTACTAATCGTGGCTAATTCTGCTTAGCCAACTTTGCCTGTATTTAGAAGCTACAAGTATTTCATAGTTCCAGCCTGGCTTGGGTTTGTGTGCATGTGTGTCTGTGTGTTTTCCCAAATGCTCTAGACTTTTTAAGATACTGCCTGCTTTGAGGCACTGGGTTAGATTAGAAATTTTAGCTGAAATAAATGATATACCTCCACGCCCACCCCTTGCTTTATTCAGGTGTTGCCAGGACACTGAACAAGATAAAAGCATTTTGCAGATGCTTAGCAGCTAAGCTGGGTGTCCCTTTTGCTGATCTAGGCATGCCCGGTCCCTAGAACCGCTTGCTCAAATAGAAGCGTGGTGTTTGTCATCTCAGTAACATTTGCACATAATAGCCCACCTTCCCTAGACAAATTGGAGCTTGCTCAGTACTAAACACATTCAACTATTTCATTGCCTGGGCAGCTTCATTTCCATTCCATCCCTGCTTTCAAGTAGCTCTGATCAAAGTTGTTGTGCAAGAAATCCATCTGTTTCTCACTCCCTGTCCTCTTTGCAGCCTGGTCCTAATTACTCAGAAGTAAGTTCTTTGGACTACAATGATCCCATGGACGGAAATGGAGAATTATGAACTTTGGCTGAATCACTACGCCCAGGACAGTCCAGTTAGTCTGATGCAGTTTTCTAATGTAGGATGTTGAAGTTCCCCCACTTTCTGGGTGTTTGTAAGGACCAGTCTAATAAATATCCTACTGATTATTCATGATGGCAGAAGAGCAGTCAATCCCCTGACATTAGAGAGCCTGTTCATTTGGAGAACTAAGCGTATTGCCTGAGCAAATATCGGTTCTGTTTAATCCTATTAATTTCAATAGAGATTTAATCAAGTTTTGTCTGCTCTTACAATGGTAAGCAGGGTGAGGGAAGACTCCCCAGGAAATCTCAGAGGTGTAGGCTACCCTGTAAAGTTGAAAAGTGCACTAGAAAAGGGCCATGGTAAATCACTGCCAGACTGTTATTAAATAAATGGTATAGATTGGCCATATAGTCATCAGGAGGCAGGCTTGGCTCAAAACAGACGTTCAAAAAATGGACTGAAAACTGGTTGGCTTTGGCTGGATCAAGTCCATGTTACTGAGTGGGATCTCTGTGAAGTAAACTAGTTAGTGAAAAATGCTTTCTTGAGTGACTTGGAACATATTTCATCCTCCACAGGTTTTCCTGATGCCTCTTTTCTCCCTTAGATGGGATTTCTCTGGGGAAAAGCATCTGTGCTCTTATGTTAATGGTTTGAGAAATAAGATCTCAGCAGCTAGGAAAGGGAAAGATCTCCACCTTTTGTTTAATATCAGTTCAGGGCAGGGAGGAGCTTCATGTGCCCAAATGTTTCTCTAAGGTTTGGGTGGAGAAGAGGAACAGCACGCTGCTTACATTAGGAAATTACTAGCTTCCAGGCATGCTTTTCTATTGCTTGGATGTAAAATATAAAATAGAAGCATTACATTTAAGGTATACTCGTATGCTCACCTTCGTTCTGCTAAAAGCCTTCATGGGCTGCATTGAAAAGTGTTTGGTTTAATAGGAAACAGGCTGCTGGAGGGAGGGCTTGGTTAGCCACACCTCCGTCGCTTTATATCTGCTTGGACGGGAGCAGCCAGCGTGCTTCCTAACCCCAGAACTTCAGAGGACAGATCAATGTGAATTCTTTCATTCACCACTCACGGCAGCACATTTCCCCATACCAACTTTTTCATGGCTCGAGTAATAGTCAGTGTTTGGCTTCTGCTGGTGCTCTTCTGCTGCGTATCCAATGCCCAGAGCTGGAGGAATTGGTTTTGGGGGGATTCTGGAAAGACCACACTGGCTCCCACAAAAGCTGCCCAAGCTGAAGATCAGACCAGCCAGGAGCTTTCCACCCCAGCGGCGACCACCAGCCCAAAGGCCCCCTTTGAAAGTACTACTGATCCTGAACCTTTGGGGAAAGGGTGGAATGTACTGACCCCGAAGCAACCAGACTTTACTACAGATTCCCCTGCATCTCCTTCCCAGGAGGAAGGCAGAGAAGGAAATATTGCAGGAGTGGGAGCTGAGATCCTCAATGTGGCTGAAGGCATTCGGAATTTGGTTCAGCTTTTGGATGAAAAGACCACAAAGGGGACAGAGAGGACAGAGGTGCCTGCCACGACTGAGATCAGCGCATCACCTGCCCCTGTTACGGAGCTGGGGAGCATCCAGAACATGACTGACAACTTAATGGGTGACGGACAAACCTCCCTGCAAACTAGGAAGCCAGCGGTGGTTCCCTCTGTGACAACGAAGTTCGCTCTTCTGTGGAACAGGACTCGAGTCCTCCTGAAGAAGCCTGGGAAACCACGTCAAGGTAGTGCTTCTTTCTCATTTTCACCTGATGATCATTTCAGTGGCACCATGTTGGTTTTTCAAGAATCTCCAGAAGTGGGGCAAGAAGGTGCTTTCATCCCAGCAACAAGGGCGGCCTGGGGCGCTTTCTCAAAAAACCAAGGGATTTTGTCCACTGCAAAAGCTCTGAAATTGCAGGAGCCCCAGACCAGCAGCAGCAGCAGCAGCAGCAGCAGCAGCTTGCATGCAGGAATGCCGTCCAAGGTGGTGGGTGCTTTAGACAACGGGGTGCTGCCTTATGTTCCAAATTCCAGCCAGCCTCTCTCTAAAGTCAGTAGAGCACACCTCAGTTTTAAAAGCCACCCTTGCTTTAAGCATTCTGGGATAGCAGTAGCTGATGCACAAACAAACCATTCTAGTGGTTCAGCTTCTAATTCCAGCGCAACTAATTCTATGGATCCCCCCCCTGCCAATCACTCTGACTCTTTTGAGTTTCTACTAACCTACGCTGTGCAACATAGCAATAGTAGTTCAGGGCTTGCCTCCTTCTTTCCTGGATTGACTCCGACAGCTGGCCGGTGCTTGCCCTTACCAACCAAGCTGTCATATTGCAACCACCTGGGCATGAAGCATTTCCGAGTGCCGAATTATTTGCATCATAGCAGTGAGGAGGAAGTTCGGGCTGCTTTGCATGAGTGGGAGGGGCTTCTTAAATCTCGGTGTCACCGCTACTTGGAGTGGTTTCTGTGCTTGCTGCTGGTACCTGGGTGCAATGCTTCTCTCCCGGTCACACCACCACCATGCCGGGGATTTTGTGAGGCCCTGAAAGATCTGTGTTGGATTCACTGGAAAGAGGGGCGCCTTCCTATATCCTGTGACTCTCTCCCAGCGGAGGACGGTCCATATTCATGTGTATTTGTAAATGTTTCAGCAGGTAATAAGGCAGGGCTAATCGTCTCTTCTTAATTCTTTCCCACCGTCAGGTAAGCTCATTTTGTGATAGATTCTGATATGCAAAAAGAGCCACTCCATCAATGTGGACACAGACAAAGTGTCAGAAAGGAAGGAGAATGAAAGGAAACCACCATTTCTCCCTACCTGAAAAATGATATCCAGGCTTTATGATGCCATTGCAGGCATCATTCTAATGTGAACTTCGTCATATATCAGCCTTTCCAAATCTGAATGTCCTGCTGATGTATGAACTTCAATTCCCAGAATTCCTGGCCAGCACTGCCATTGTTGAGGATGCTGGGATTTGGAAGTTCACACTGCAGAGGGCGTCTAGGTTGGGAGAGGCTGCATTCTTCAGTAACAAGGATGGACTTCTTGCCAACAGTGGAACAGGTATTCGGCACAGCTAGGAAGGCCCATAATTCTCTTGGTCATGACTAAGAGAATCTGTCTGTAAGGGTTACCTCCACTCCTGTGCTGTAAGAGTAGCTGCACCGTGATTCTGCAGAGTGGAGGCAAAGCAGCACTAACTCACAGGAGACCATGTGTTGGATCAACATGCTGTTGTTTTGTAGACTTCCTGACAGATTTTCCCCCAAAGTTGTTATAGGTTCTAGACATAGTCTTGAACCCTTGAGTGAGAAATTAATGGAAAGTGAAAAAGAGATAAGGTGGCAGCATGTTAAGAATTAGGGTTTGTGATTGTTTCTATATGTGGGTAAAACAGAGGAAGAGCTTAAATCCTTCCTCTGATTTGACCAAAGTGGCAGAAAAAGTGGATTGCCATTAATAGTATTTTTCCTACATAGCTTTGGGCAAGGCGCCTTCTCATCTTAAGAATATAGTCACACAAAAACATATGTGATGATAAGCAGTAAGACTGTTCTTTTAAAATGCTTTGCAAGAAGCAATATGATAAGGCAATCTTATAGGGTCAGAAAGATAGTTGATTTTGTGTGTGTGTGTGTGTGTGTGTTTGCATGCACACGCAAAAGAGAGGAAGAAAAAAAACACGGATGCAGGAATTTTAACAGACTTTCAGTGTAATGCCATTTTCATTTTTTTATGGTAATTTTATTAAAAATTACAACTGCAACAATAAGGTAATGCAATTTTCAGTGTAGCACATGTGGAACTATTCTTTTTTCATTTCGTTTTTGCATTCAGCACTTCTGCATAATGCTTTTCTATTTATCTTTGTTCTATTCAATACTGAAACCATTTTCCAATCCAAACTGTATTTTAGGATCTCAAAAAATGCCCTCTGATAAACAGGTAAATCTTTCTTAAAGGGCTTCTTTTCCTGGTCACCCGGCCCTGGGCGTTTCCACATTTCCTATATCTTGGAGTTTCCCATTCTTTTTGCCATGTACGGGAGCTGTAAGATTCAGAAAACAAGTTCCTACAAGACAAGACTTTTCCTTGGTGTGCCTGTGATATCTCAGATTTCTGCTGGCAAAGAATTATCCACGCTCTCACTAAGTTTTAAAACTTGGGGGTCATCCAGAACATTTGCTTGGCAGTAGATTCAGGACAGGCAAAAAAAAAAAACTTCACGCAACATGTAATTAATCCAGGATATAGAATATCTGGTCACAGGATGTTCCGATAGCCGTTGGCTTCAATGTTTTTTTCTTACTGATAAATCTATCCAGCGTAAATCTGTACAATAACAGCTATTCATAATAATTATGGATGGGGCATCCATGTTCAGAATCACTCTGTTTGGAGATAGACAATAATCCAGAAATGAAAGTCATCTGAGATAGCTTTTGCTTCCCATGATATTGATAGGTATATGTTTCTTTTGGCCCACTCATCAAAGGGAGTTTTGCAAGTTACTGAAACAATGGCAAGACCTCTTTATCAGAGATGAAAGGTAGATGGCTATATACACTATGATCAAACATTCTTCTTTGAAAAAGTGCTTTCAGTTCTCTGGAAAAAAAAAACTTGTCACTGATTAGCAAACTCTGGGGGCAAAAAGAGGGTGCTCGTTACCACTGTGACTTGCTTGAGATTTCCCAAGAAAGTTTAGTTGCCTGGACAACTAAATAACAGTGATTGATGCCAGTTACATTCTTCAATCTTGTGTGTGTATGGAAATAGCTGGGTGCCCCCCCC